CAATTACGGATCTGATATCTAACCTAGTAGTAGATTGCAATGAATAATAAACTAGTAGGCCTCCTAACAATCAAACGAAACAATCATAAACATGAACATAGAATAACATTCGATATTCAAAGCATAAATCAAACAATAAAAATCAAATTAGATCTCACAGTTTTGTTGATTCTTAGGCTTTTGTTTCCTTCGACCAACTATCAGAATTAGCCTCGCATGGTCATGGTGAAACTCAAGAAAAATCAAAGAAGAGAGAAGAGAAGAGAAGAGAGGGGCGGCAGCCCTAGGTCTGATTGCCTTCTTGATTTTCTTTCTCTTCTTTTCTTTCTTCTACTTCCCCCAAGAGAAGCCTAAAAAATCTCTTAAAATTTCTTTGGATAACAGTCTCCAAGTCTGACTTGCCAAGAAAAATATCATAGATAAGATAAAACAAAGTTCTAATGTAAGTGAGAGAGTGGTGATTTCGCATATGAAAACTTGCAGGCTAAGGAATGTTTCCAGCACGTCAGCAGTGCGGTTGCAGCTGTTTCGGGCCCGATTTTGACCTCGATGCATTCAGTATCTATCAAAACTCAAAACATGAAACATGTAGAAATTTTCCTTATCGTTCCAACACATCTTGAATCATCTCAATTGGGGTCCGGATAAGAGAGGTATGCCCAAATTACCACGTGGTTCTGAAACTGTTCAGAATTACCCGATTAGCTTATTTTTCACTTAACGCCTCCATTTGTGCCCTAAATAAAAATATAAGAATAATGAGTGCAATTGGGCATCAAATAAGTATAAAAGATTAAATATTAAGGGAGAAAAATATGATATTTTTCATTCTCATCACCAGGATAGTTACTTGGTGGAAGCCACGACCAGTGAGGAGGATCCCGTGACTTATACGGAAGCTATGTTGGACATAGATTCCTTGAAGTGGGTAGATGCAATGAGAGCTGAGATGGACTCAATGAAGACCAATGGAGTTTGGACTCTGGTAGATCCACCCCCTAGGGTAAAAGCAATTAGTTGGAAATGGATATATAAGAGGAAGAAGGGCCCCGATGGTAAGGTTGAGACCTACAAGGCTCGTCTTGTAGTGAAAGGGTACACTTAGAAAGAAGGAATCGATTATGAGGAAACTTTTTCGCCGGTGGCCATGCTTAAATCCATTAGGATCCTACTAGATGTAGCAGTGTACCATGATTACGAGATTTGGTAAATGGATGTCAAAACTGCGTTCCTAAATGGAGATCTTAGTGAAGATATCTATATGCAGTCACCGCAAGGTTTTATAGCTGTGGGTTAGGAACATATGGTATGTAAACTAAATCGATCCATATATGGACTTAAACAAACTTCTAGGAGTTGGAACATCCAGTTTGACTCTACCGTCAAAAGGTTTGACTTTGAGCAAAATTCGGATGAGCCCTGTATTTACAGGAAATCCAGTGGGGATAAGGTTACGTTCCTGGTTCTGTATGTAAACGGCATTCTACTCATTGGGAATGATGTAGGAATGTTGACTACGGCGAAATTATGGCTTTCACAGCAATTCTCCATGAAAGATCTTAGAGAAGCCTCCTACATATTGGGTCTTTGGCTCTATAGAGACAGATCAAAGAGGATAATAGTATTATCCCAATCTGCTTACATTGACAAAATAGTCAAGAGATACAGCATGGAGAACTCCAAGAAAGGAAATGTTCATTTTAGGCATGGAGTCACTTTCTCCAAGGGTATGTCTCCCAAGACTCCCGAGGAGATTGAGGAAATGAAGGACGTTCCCTATGCCTCATCCGTAGGGAGCATCATGTATGCCATGCTATGCACTCGTCCCGACATCTCTCAGGCAATGAGTGTGGTAAACAAATTCCAGTCAAACCCAGGGCAGGAGCATTGGACTGTTGTGAAAAACATACTAAAATACCTTCGAAGGACAAAAGAGTTTTACTCGGTATTCGATGGTAGTTCGCTATAGATCCAGGGGTATACTGATGCTGACTTCCAGTCAGATCCAGATGAAAGAAAGTCTACATCTGGATACGTTTTCACGATAGGATCGTGTGCTGTTTGTTGGAAAAGCAGCAAACAGTGGTCTTAAGTAGTAAGAATAATAGCTCACAACCCAAGCCGAACACATTGCCGTAAGTGAGGTTGCCTAATGAATAAAGGTGTTCATTTTGTAATTTGGAATATAGCACATCACCCATTCCACTGTTGTGTGACAACACTGGATTTATGGGAGATTGATGTTAAAATGTAGCATCAACAGAGAATGTGGCAGACCCATTGACTAAGCCACTGACAAAGAAAGTGTTTGAGAAACAGATGGAAAGTCTGGGACTCCGGCTTGTACCCGATTGGACCAATGTGCAAGTGGGAGCTTTTAGACAGTATATGCCCTTAGCTCCAATCAGAATGATGTACCTTATGACATTTAATGTAAATGAATAAAGTACATATTTGATTCATGTTATTATGGTGTGTTTCTGTGTAATACCCTTAAACTGGACACTTATGAGACTCTTGTTAGTTTAAAATCTTCACAACCGTTGGATAGATCTAGGGAGATTTATCCTGCCAAGCCTGTCACTGATGTACCGCCAAGTTGGTTGGGGTGGCTTGTCTCAACTACCAGGGTGAGACCTGAGGTACATGTAGTGTGGGTTTTTTTTTTTTGAAACCCTGAACCGGACCAGAATTCCAATATTGCCCTGGACCTTGGAGATAGATGTGCAAAACTGGAATGTCACACCTGACCCCTAGACTCGATTATGATACTGCACTAGGTGTCGAATTGGGCTATCTTTGATATGCCAATCAATGAAATCCTTAGAGGGGGTCAAAACCTGGGTATGTTGGGATAGTCCGATAATTCATCTGAGTGGGTGATCATAGTGACAGGATCAGTCCCTTTGTCGGACAAAGTGAATGATCGCGGAT